GCCTGGGGCAGAGCCGGACTATCGTAAGGGGGGGCTATGAGGGGTCTGGGGTGGCATCCCCTCCCACCCCACTCCAGACCCCTCATAGCCCCCCCCTTCTGATAGTCCGGCATATCTGATAATCTGGCACCCCCTGGGTCCTAAAGGTGCCGGATTATCGGAAGTTTACTGTATATGATAGGTTTGGCAAATGCCTGTCAGGGACGGTCTAGGTGTACTTGGTCCTGTCTTAATGCAGAGGCCCGGACTTTGACCTGTCAAGGTCCCTTCTAGCCCTACATGTCTGATTCTGTGAACGTGGTGAAAAAAACTGAGCTGCAAAGGGCAGAGTGTCTGCAGAGGAGAAGGTTGTAGCTTGGTCACCAAGAATAAGCTGTTCAGTGATTGCATTCTTTTACTAGTTTAAAAGTCCCAGAGGAAAGTCTTAGCAAGGACTGTAATCTAGATAGCCCCATACAGTTGGCAAACAAACTATAATTTGATGACCCTGTCAGAGTGGGGTGAATCTTGGGATTCTACCATGAGAGATTTATATACATTTAGCAAAAATGACAGTGGAGAGACTGTGTGTGGAGGGTAAGTTCACAGCTCACTTTGGATCCTTAACATAATTAAATTGGAATGTATTATTTTTGTAATTAATTATTTTTGTCATTTTTAGTTTATCATGACCCTTGTTATAATGGGTCTATAAAGAAATAATGATTTTGAAATGACTATGGATAAAACAAATTTAGAATTGGTGCTTAGTAACATGTAATCTTTAATGGCAATGCCATTAAGAATTAAGTTTTAATTTGTTTTACGCATTGTAATATCAGCCTGCTTCCATTAACTGGTATTGGATTCGATCCTGTAAACTGCCAAATGTTTTAGATTTCCAGTTGACAAAAGTTCAAATCACTGATCACTTTAGAGTAGGGCTGCAGTCCTTTCCTTCAGATATGTTTTAGTAGCAAACAACTCTCATCACTCTAAGCACTTCCTAGATAGATTAGGTTTACACGATGTGGGAACGAATAGATTGGATGGGAGTCTTCTATTTTTCCACTTCCTTTGAATAGTAGACTTGAGATTTTTCCCTCTTCTTCTCTTTCCTTCCTTCTCTCTTTTGGCAGTGGTTAAAAAGCTTTTGCAAAGAGGAGCGTCTTGCAGCTTCTAACACTTGGTGTCCCTCTCCTACCCCCCCAGTAGAAGAGCATCTGGTCAGACTGCCTAGTACTTTGAGAATCTGTTCCAGTACAAAAGTACATTGTTAATTGAAAAACACATTCTGCTTTGTACAATAAAGTCTCTGTGCATTTTTTGTTACAGGCCTTGATGGATTCCAACCTTCCTAGGTTACAGTTAGAACTCTATAAAGAGATTAAAAAGGTGAGCATAGCTCTTTCCTTTTTTCTCTTTGGACATATGTGATATTAAATAATGAAGTGTTTTGTTATTCATTGATCTTTGAAGTGATTATTTTAAAAAGTTTAAATTTCTCTTTGATATTTGATCTACTGCAACAACTATATTTATTGGTTTCTTTTTAATGTATATTTTTGTGTGTGTGGATGTTAAACATAAAAATGTCCCTTGTTAACAGCTGCTTATGTGATGTGTACCTCCTGTATATCATGGAAGATCATACTTGTATTATATATATACAAGCTAATTATTTTAGTCTGTGGTAGCTTCTGAGACAGGTGCCTGTAAAATAAGGAAGAAGAAATTAAACAAATGTTAAATGTGGGACAGTATATCGTTGGGAGACTGCTTACTGAACCTGAGAAGAGATACACGTGAAGAGAATGTATAGAGGGACCAATATTATCATTAATAATTTCTAACACATTTCTAATGGTATAATATATTTAATATAAGAGGTAAGGTAATAATACCACTCTCTGGAATAGTGTTCAGGCAAGATAGAACATCTATTTACGACTTGAGCTCTTCTTTGCGAAAGACTAAAATACCCTGTGGAACCCCATGTAAGTCTCTCGTTATTTGCCATATATGTAGGCGCTCTTGCATTATGATCATAACTGATTACAAAAATAAAACCTATTACTTCCATTAGTTTTAAGAAAAATAACTTCAGACATTCCTTCTAAGGGGTGAGAGGAGCTCAGTTTATGAAAAGATTTTAAAATATATTGAGAGGTGCTAATCTTCTACTAACCTGTGCTATTAATGACTTGTGAATATTCATCTATAAAGACAGATTATAGAGATACAGAGAGAAGGGGAAAATATTTTTAAGCTTAAATTTGAAACATTGCCATCTGTTCTTTGAGGAGACGTAGCCATATATTCCACTTAAGTGTGCATGCACTCATTGCACTGAAGCTGGAGAATTTTGATTATCAGTATCCACGTGTAGATGTATATGTGCTTGCTCACTCCTCAAGACCTTAGCCCCCATCTTCTGGTTACAAGAGATGGTGCCGATGTGATCCTCTTCAGTTCTTTCTTACCACCTGTGGCTGGAATTGGAGCTCTGTGTGTTTTCCACCTCTCATGCCTTCTGTTTTAATGACTCTTTCTAATTGTATACAGTTAACTAGAAGATTTACATGATGGTCCTCGGGTACTTAACTCAATTTTGTTTCATTGAAATCATTATTCTGTGGTGGGGCTGTGAATGAGAGGTTGAGTATGCAGAGTGCCCTGGGAAGAGGATTATCCCAGCCCCCTCTTACCACAGCAGATTGGGGTCAAGTGAAAAGCACCTCTCCATGGCTGCTGTGGCTCCAGTGGGCATAGCTATAGGAGGTGTGCATGTCCCCATCTGGGGCAGGTCCAGGTTCATCTGCCTCTTGCGCTTCCCACCCTGAGTAAGGAATGCAGCAAAATGAACTTTCCCCAACTTCTTGATGAACAGCTAGCAATGTGCTTGTATGAATCAGGGAAGGGGGAGTTCCAGTCCCCTCACTTCCCCCCAGTCCTCCCTAAAAGGCTTCTGGGCAGGTGGAAAATTTGGGCCTGGGGCAGTCCTGAAAGGGTGGGGAAAGAAGCACCTGCCACCCAGCCATCCCTTTCACCTGAGTGGTGATTCTCTCTTTTCTGTATGGTTTTGAGAAGTAGTCCCATGCTGGGCATACCCTGTTTCTCCTGCCACAATGAAATCCTTACCTTGCTTTAAGTTATTGCAAGAGGAAGCTGCATGCCAAATTTAGTGGTCCTAGTTTTATACTATTTAGTAGGAGTTCTTGTAGATTAGTAGATTAGTACCCTTAGTATAGTGTTAGTTTCATTGGGATTATCTTTAGTTAAGTATTTCTGTGGTGGTCTCTCCACCAGGGTTTAAACTAGGGATGTAATAATGTAGTCTTTTAATTGATAAGCAGAAGCTTATAGGTTTATGCTATAGACTACGTGCATTTCTCTCTTCCCTCCCTACACCTCTGCCAGTAAATTTTTTAGCAGACTAGTCAGCAGCCCAGCTCCGTCCTGGCTTGCAATGGGTTTGAGACCTATTCCTGCTGTGGCTCTACATTAGAGTGTATTAGGAGCTGGACAGGCGGCAGCCCGGCTCATTCCCCCCGACAAGGGCTGCTGCCACTCCATGCCGCTGCCTCTTTATCAGAGGCAACAGTGTGGGGTGGCAGGCAGATGATCTGCGCAGGGAGCTGGTTTTTAAACTGGATCCCCTCGCTGACCAGCTCCCGCCTGGCACCCCATACTGCTGCCTCTGATACAGAGGCAGCAGTGTAGAGTGGGAGGGGGCTTCTCGGGAGTGAGGCCGGTCCCACCCCTGGGGACTATAGAATAGTCACCTAACCGATAAGAATTCATGAGGTGGCTCGGCTATTCAATTAACTGATATTTAACATCCCTTGTTTAAACGTTTGTGTCCATGGTGTAGGGGGGCGATGTGCTCAGGAGAGGCCCATGTCAAATAATGGAGTTCACTTTTGCAGATTGTTTACCAAATGTACTCGGGTGACAAGGAATATTCATCTAAAGCAGCACCTGCTTGAAGCAGGCTGTGTAACTTGCTTCAGCCCCAAGGCCTTCATCAGAGTGCAGGTAATCCTTGGGTTCTAAGAGTGCTGCTGCTTTGCTCTCTGAAGCTGGTACCTCTCCGAAGAGTTGGAGGAGTTGTTCCCTGTCACTTGTACCAAGGAAAAGTTTTCATCTGGGCCAGGGTGTGTGGGGACATGTCTGTCTTCTCCAGAAAAATTGCAGATTGGTACAGAACGAATACTTGTGTGAGAAGGAATGGGTCCCATCAATCACTCCCCAGTACTATGCGGTTCTCTCTAGTCTTTTTCAGTCTGCTTGAATTTTTTTCCTATCCATGAGCAGAATTTTTTTTATATGCACCAAGAAATGTGCAAATGTGTACTACCATTAGAAACAAAAAAACTAGCTGTGGGTTCTCGGCTAATTAGCTGCGTGACGTTAGAATCTCTCCTGAGTGGCTGCACAGCTTACAGAGAATGCTAGCAGGGAGGTCAGATGATGACTCTGGTTCTAGCACTAAGATTTTGGTTGAGTTTTATACTGATGGTGTTTCTGCATTGGAGCATATCAGGTGGCAATAGACTTCCTCTGCCTCTCTCTCCTGACCTCTCCCTTGGTTCAGGAATTTGCCAAGACTGTGACCTTTATAGTCCCATTGGCTGGGTGGCCTGCTGGAATGCTAGCAGGGAGGTCAGATGATGACTCTGGTTCTAGCACTAAGATTTTGGTTGAGTTTTATACTGATGGTGTTTCTGCATTGGAGCATATCAGGTGGCAATAGACTTCCTCTGCCTCTCTCTCCTGACCTCTCCCTTGGTTCAGGAATTTGCCAAGACTGTGACCTTTATAGTCCCATTGGCTGGGTGGCCTGCTG